GGTGTTTCCTTCGAAGTCGGAGTACAGATGCTAGAGAGGCAAGGAATAAACAATTGGTATACAAATAAGACAGATCTGTAAACACGGATGTGCCTGCAAAACTAAAGTTGTGGAAGAAGACTTAAGTCTAAAAGTCGACCAACAACTAGAACTTGCCACCGGAGTTGAGCGGTACACGTTATGAAGAAGTTTCTCGCTTCCGAAAGACTACAGAATATTTTTTTAAATGTTTGCCTTTTTTTTTTTTTTAAGTTCAATATATTGTGTTCAGACAACATGTATTTTTCTTTTCTTTTATCCACGTTCTGCGTTTGAAGTGTCGCAAGTTAAGAGATTTGCATCCAAGCTTGGGTAGGCTCGGGTGTCCGGCATGCTGTGATGTTTTAGAGTCTCAAGGCATCAGTGACTCTCTCAGTCCATCTTCTTCTTGGCCGTTCTCAACCTCTTGGTGTTTCTACTTTTATGTAGTTGCCTCTTGTTGCTGGTATAATTTGATTCCTTTTCATTAAACGGCAAAACGATTTTAGTCTTTTTTTCCCCCAAAGAATTTAATTACATTTTATTTTATTAGCCTATATTTATACAGATAATATATTCAAGTGGATATAAAGAGGAGCAGGACTTAATACTGAAGTGAAATTGATGAGCACTTTAAACTACGCAGACCGTAGGACAGTGGCTAGACACTTGCCGGCAGACTCAAAGGTCATGAGTTCGAATCCGAACGAGCAGATTTTTTTTTAAATAATTGACCCTAGGGGCGCCGGAACCTGGTGGCTTAGGCACAGTAAAAACTTTCCCTTTGAAACATATTGAGGAGCTCAGCCCCTACCCCCTCCCCCCCCCCCCCCTTCCCCTTTGTTTTCCACTAAATTTGTAAGAAGGATAAGTAGTCCGTCATTTTCCACCCAAGCATGGAATCTCTCTCTTGTTAAAGTTTTTTTTTTTTTTTTTAAATACATGTATTGTTTCAAATATTATATATATATATATATATATATATATATATATATTATATATATATATTATATATATATATATATATATATACCTTATATATATATATATATATATATATATATATATATATATATATATCTTTATATCCCTATTCCGCAAGTTATTATTATTAATTTAAACAAGTCTTAGTCCCTTATTAACCCTCCCCCCCCCCCCCCTCCAAATAGGACTTCTCACCAAGTACTGTCTTTGTATGCAAGTCACGACCTCCTGCAAACTAGGCTCCACCAAGTTTCCTCGCTGGTCCTAGTAGTCTCTCATTCCAGCTGACGATATTAACCAGGGCTTATTTTTAGGTAAGGCTTACATCAAAAGCATCCTAGGGCTTATTTAGGGATTCGTCTCAATGTCGGGGAAACGCATATATACAGTCTGAGGGGAGGGCAGGGTGTGGTTGAAATTATATGCTCTGTTAGGTGCTTTAAGTCGTTGCGTATCATTTACAGGATGTTGCAAAACCAACCCCATCATGTTTTGCACTTGCGATTTCTCTAGGCAAATTTTACGTTCAGTAGTTTGCCATTTCTTTCTGGGGGGAGGGCTGAGTGGTCTCGAGGCATGGTGTCCGCCTCGAGTGCTAGAGGTTCCGGGTTCAATCCCCAGTAAGGGCTGGGATTTTTTCACGTCCACTTCGACTTCTAGTAATTCCCCCCGGTCTCTGGGTAGTGAGATCGGACGTGCATTGTTGCGCACGTAAAAAAATCCCTTGGCCGTTTGAAACCGAAAAGAGCAGCCTAACAGCACTGCCCATGCAAATTTTGGAGTTTAAAATCTACCGAAAGTAATTTAGGATTCTCGCCGGTGCTATAGAGCCTGTGCATTGTGCTGAGCATCTTCGGACTTAGCCTTGAGTTAGAAAAAGAACGGAGCACTAATGAGTTACTACCCGTGTGCCATGATGTTGATCCGTGTGTTCAAACTTCAAACTTTAAAACTTCATTGCTTTCTAAATGTTCAGCTCTGGATACCACTGTCTAAACCAACGCAATGCGGTCTGTTGTCAAATCACCTGCAGCTGGGAGAGAGCCTGATACCCCGGCATCACGAAGTGCATTCGCAATGCCTAAGCCAGAGTCGTCAACTCATTTTGAATAAACGCACATTTTCTTGTCCTTCAAGCAAGCACGGGAAAACACAAAGAGGAATGTATTTTATATTTTATTAATGAAAGTAAAGTGAAGGTCTTGCTTCCATATCTTTAGATGAACTGGTTACACAATGGTAGACTAATCGGCACTCGACACACACCAATGAGGTCTTTGCTCACCTATTGTAAAAATGACTGAATACACACTCACCTACTGTATAAAGTAAAGGTCCCTTTGCCACGCCTTAGCCGTTTAGGGCATATATGGCTAGACCTATATTCACAAGATGGGTGATGTCGTTTACTTCCTGGGACTGCACCCGGTACCAAGTTAAGACTGGGACGACCTGGGAGTCAAAGTCACACCCACTGTATGATGGACTGAATACACGTAAAGGCAACAGACTCGAAGGAGGCCAGTCTTTGTTGGGTCTGGCAGAGACAGTACTTCAACAGATGATTCCCTTCAAGACAAACCGTGGAGAGGAGTGGATACTTCTACCAAACAAATACAAGCAGTTCTTTGTGTACCTCAACCTGACAAGACAGTACCGTGAATTGACACCAGCACTAGTTGATGCAGAAGTGCAAGCATTGGTGGAGAAGCTCACATTACCGTAAAATGTTGTTTTATATGTATATATATATATAAATGTATTTATACAAATGGTTCTGTGATTCGTCAGAAGTGAAGTGCATGGGCTTTCACGGCTAGGAAAAGTCATAAAAGAAGACAGTGGAGCTTTGATTCTACCACCAGCAGCATAGCAATGGAGGTCAGGGTTATGACAAAAGTCCTAGAACTGCGGAGAATTCATGAATTCACCAATGCACGCTTTCTCAGCGACTCAATGAGTATGCTACAGAAGATCAATGCACGTAGCGTTTCACAAAATCACCCTAATTTTTGTCACAGGTAATGCTCGTGTGAAAGACAATGAAAACGCAGACACCATGGCTGATACTGTGACTACCAGGAATAGGCCATCTATGGACAGGATAGACATCATCAATGCAATACAAGAGACTGAACACTATGAGGCGTTCAGTTTCGTGGAGAATGATTTTTCATTGACTGGAGGCATACCCTGGGTGAACCAATTGGAGCTGTGAGATAGTAAAACCATGCGGGAGCCACCCGTAGTTACATCAGTCATAATAGAATGGGACTTGTTAGCCTAAAACACCTGCAGACATACTCAGGAGGAGATCGGAGCACTTATGGTCATGTCCTATGTGCGATGAAGATGATCTTTAAATGAACAATGACCAATGAACGACAAGCCTCAAGCAATGACATCACCAACAAGAAACAGAATCTAATGTGTTCAGTTTGAACCAGTAAGATACGAGAAGAATCAGTAGGAGTCTAAACCTAGACCGTACTAAACCACGGTATAGACTCTAACCAATACTCCTCTTCATTTTGAAACTATCCTTTAGGGCCTGATTTATACATGACGAGGACCTCTTATGAAAAGCCTTAGGCCCTTACTGTTTTAAATTACATCAGATAATTTAAAAAAAAAAAAGCTTAAAAATATATTTGGCTTTTAAATATATGAATACTGAAAAATTGTCATTTACTTTTTATTAAAAAGAAAAAAATAAGAATATTTGCAAAATAACAGAAATTGTGTTATACAATACCATAATGCAGTCTTTAAGTTACAGTTTTAAAACTGGCGGGAAAACTTTAAAATATATTACAATGAAATTAAATCTGTAAAGAAAAACACATAGAATTTGCTTAGGCCCTTGCATATAATGAAGCCCTGAGCTATAGCTGATTTATCTGATTATATCTAAATCCGACAACATTATCGACCAGTCCTTTATTAATGCTCTGCAGTTTTGAACGTTAGGGAAAACTTACCACATCTGTCTCCAGATGTTACATCTGGCTCATTCTATGGACCCTGAAATAGCTGATGAAAACATGCACTTTCATAAAATTGGTTGTCACTGAACATTCACAAGTAACTCGTCAACTTTGAAATCAGCAAACAAACAAAAGTCAGTTGTGCATCCTTTACGGGGCGTTACAGAACCAAACCTGGCATTTTTTCCCCCTTTCTCTAGGCTGTTTGTGTTTTACTAAGAATTTTACGTTCAGTAGTTTGCCACTGATAATGAAAGGTCGGTGTTCGACACCCTTGTCGAAATCAACGCAAGGTGGTCTGGATTCAGCAGAAACAGTAAATTTAGATATTATTGGAGGACAAAAGTGATTAATCGATACTGATAACTTGCAGAAAACTCATGCAAAGCCCTATTTCATTTAAGAATTCAGTCTGGCGCACAAGAGAAAAGTTTACCATGTTTTGAAAGTTTGGTCTCAAACTGTAAAAATTAACTTCCTATAAAAGCTGTTCTTAAACAGTAGAATTTCACGGTATTTTAATTTTTTTTTTTAAGCTGGACTTAAAAGATCGAAGTTCACGTCCTTTAAAAGTTCACAAGACTAAAATTTGGTCTTTTAAAAGTTGTGCTCACATGATCAAAATTCGCGTCTTTTGAAAGTGAAGCTCACAAATCTAATGTTTCATGCCTTTAAATAGTCGATCTTACAATAAGCAAGTTCCGCATTCTTTAACAGTTCAGTTGGGATCACATAGGTAGAGTTCCATGTTTCTGAAAATTTTAGTTGAGTTCACACTTTCTTGAAGACATAATTTGACCCAGGTTGAAAGCTTTGCGTTCTTCCGCAGTTCAGTTGGGATCGCACTGGTAGAGTTCCATTTTCTTGATAATTCTAGTTGGGTTCACACTTTCTTTAAAAGATTCGACCCTGGGTGAATGCTTTGCGTTCTTTAACAGTTCAGTTCATATTACACCGAAACGGTTCCACTTCTTAAATAGCCTGGCCTCTAAGGGGGACCTTATAGGCCATTTAAGACATGCTTCTAGTAGGTCTATACACAGTGGACTCTAGCGTAGAACGTAAAGGACCAACAACAGACAACCGCTGTAGTTTCTTACACGACGTTACGTCTCTATGCAGTAAAGACATCTTAAAGTTGTTAAAGGTGTGCCTGGTTTGTTTTCTGAAGTTTCTATGAAGAATCATGTATGTTAATGGTTTCACAAGACAGTTGAGGAGGTACAACCGAGAGCACAAATGAAACATAATTTCACTCGTGTTTGAAGAAAAGCTGTTAAATGCTGATGTGACTGAGTAGAGTATTGTCACCACCACAAACGGTAGGATGTTGATGGCAGTCAATACTGAGATGACTGTGAACATGAGGACGTATTCTTTATTCTTGATGTAGAGTGCAACAGATGTCACGTCACCTTGACCAGCAGATTTGTTGGTATTGCCGCCAATTTTGTTCTGATCGTTTGTTTCATTTCCTTCACTGATTTGACTGTTGTGTTTTATTCCATTGCTACTAATGCCAAATATCTTGATTTCTCTGTTACTTTGATTTCTTGATCTTTTTCTTCTGTTGCTCTGGTTACTCGTCTTGTTTACACTGTTATTCTGGTTGCCGGGTGTGTTTACACTGTTACTCTGATTATTTGACTGGTTCCCACTGTTACCATCTTTGCCAGTTTGGGCTGCAGCACTGCACATAGTTCCGCTTGACTTATTTTTGTGGCTGCTCTGAAAACTGGTCTTCATTTCACCGTTGCTCATATTATTTGTTCTGGATTGTCTTTTGCAACTTATCCTATGTACGTGGTCAGACTGAGAAAGAAAAGCACAATGCAATCCTCTGTGAATGTCATGAAGACGATAGATTTCCTCAGAATAATTTGTTATGCATGGGGTACCCGTATCTTGTCTAACAAATCTATGCTTCTTTGGAAACTCCCTTTTCAGTGGACTTGCTTTCTTTCCGGTGTCGTCTGCTTGTTGTTGTTTGTACGATGACACGTATATCAAGCTATACAACCCTGCCATTGCAGAAACACTCACGATGAATGTCCCAAGCACACAGATACAATAAAGAAATCTTAACCACTCCACCCCACTTGAATCAACCAAACAACCAACTCCAAAGTGTTCAGTATACGGTGTCCTAAGTGGCTTAGCAGTAAATACCACTGACGCCGGAAGTGACAAAATTACAGCGAATACAACGGCAACAAAGCAACATACTTTCGCTTTCCAAACACTAAAATCCCGTTCTGAGTGACACATTTTTCTGTAGCAATCAAAGGCTACACACAGCAACGTCAAACACTGACAACACATCAGCCAGGATTTGACACATTCCATGACCTTACACAGAGAGACCACTTTATACATCAACGGTAAAGTTAACGAGGAAACTTCTAGAGGAATTACAACTAAACACCCAAAAAGGTCAAAAACAGCAAAGAAAATAACAAAGAAATTGGAAGCCGCTCTCCTAGATCGACATCTGTATATGTAGCAAACAGCAATGTTACAGAAAGCGCCAGATACCATGATACAAGCAAGAATAATAAATAATGGAGAAAATACAAGACATCTGTGTGTGTTTAGTTCCAAGATATCCGGCTTTGGCGCCAAGGTTGTATTTCGCGGTAAAAGTCGTGTGCTTGCATCTAGTTCATGTTTTCTCCAAAAAGGATGATCATAGGCGTGAAAATAGAAGTCTGTGATGTTGTCGTCGTAAATGAAATTATAGTCCATACCTGAATCATCCGTCATTTCAGTTGCTAGTGCAAATGACTACTAGATCGATTGAGCTAAATTTTGAGCGACTAAAAACAAAATTGTCTTTCACTTTTGTTGACATTTCCTAATAAAATAGTGTGACAGTTTGTCTAGAAATCTTTAGCACTGTCCGTCCCTTGAATGATTCAGCTGAATTCTGAGCGACTAAAAACAGTGTCATAATTGTTTTTCGCGTGTGTGTGTTACGTAATAAAATAGTGTGACAGTTTGTCTAGAAATCTTTGGCACTGTCCCTTGATCGATTAGCTGAATTCTGAGCGACTAAAAACAACGTCAGCTAGGAAATGGGTATGACCTTTGCTCTTCTCAGCTTCCATTCGTTCTCCCTGTAAAATAACAAAATAAAAAATAAAAAAGATTAAAATCAATAAACATTAAAACATGAAATTACTGTGTAGCATAAACGATCAACAATACAATAAGTATGTAAACTATAACTATTTACTCATAGATTAAATTCTGAAATCATAAAAAGTATGACAGGCGCGCTGAAACAAAGAAAACAGTGGGGGGGGGGGGAGCTGAGAGGCCCCTCCTAACAGATTTCCTAAGCAAAAATGGCAGTCCAGCTCCTCAAGTCCCCACCTTCAAATGCAGGGGTTAGCGGGGCTCCCAACCCCCCCCCCCTTTTTTTTCCATCAATAATTTACTAAGGGGTTAGGGGGCCCCTTTTATTAACTAGGTACATAAATTATCTTTCCAAATACAGTGGAACCTCAGGACACAAATTTCCTCTGTTCGAACACAAATTACAATTAAATGGCTTCAGTAATACAGTCTTAGAATAACCAGTACTAGGCGCTTTACAAACTTAACGACAAGTAAGCATCAATACGTGTCGTGTCGGTAGATCGTGAGAATTCTATCTCACGCGATCACCAGAATAAGAGATCAGGTAAGTGTTCTTGTTTTAACCATCACATGTGACCAAGCCATCGAGGTAATAATTTATCTCTTGGTTTTCCCCCTCGCTCATTTTTTCATCAGCTTCTTCTTCTCAAGTTTAGTTAGTCGTGGGTCGAGTTCCAGCTTCAAAGCAGACGGTCTGTCCTGTTAATGCTCCATTCGAGCTAGTAGAGATCTCACACAATGCCCTTCACTGTGCCACTAACCCTCTATCCTTACTTAGCAAGCTATCTCACACCCTCACTCCTTGGACCTTACTTTATGTCCCACGCAGCATTCATGCATTCCAGTTGTGTGTTTTTTTTTTAAATCTGTGATACATTACCACTACTTCTATACCATCTGTGGCCAAAAGAAAACTGGATTAAAAAATTGGGTGGGGGGGGGGGGGGCCAAAAAAGAATGAAACCGAACAACAACAAAAGCTGAAAAGGGATCAGGCTGTACCATAACGCCATAAGAAAGGAATGATACCTAGGACCTCAAAGGAACAAGGGCCTAAACTAAAACCAAGCCCTCGGGGCAGGTTGAAAAGTGCAAACCACTTCTTAATGCAATGCAATTCGTTGTCCCATCTGAAAACTAGTGAAAATCATCTCAGTTCCAGCAAAATACCGAAGCTCACACACGCAAAGTAAATGCATAAGGCAGCGTCAGATACGACAACGTTAACAGTTCCCGTCGGAATTGGAGTTCACTGCTAATGCAAGCATTTACTGGAAAAATCGTCACAGTACAGGCAATACGGCATAAGTTCACGCATTCGAATGCAATCGGCCACTCGCCATTATTAGCGCATTTCATAACACAAACCGTCGTGGGGACAACCGAAAATCATTCAACATGATTCTACATCTCACAGTGTCACACCAAGCACACAGCTCGGTAGCTAGACGACGGAACCGTCAAATTCAAATCTATTTAACCCTATAACATGTCTAGCAAGTACATAAATTTAAATATCTGGGCACATAGATAACATCAGATGGAAGATGCATAACTGAGATAAGAAACAGAATAGGACAGGCAAAAACTGCATTTTATAAAATGAAAAACATCTTGTGCAATATATCCTCGTCATTGAGAGTTAGAAAAAGAATTCTTGCTTGCTACATACATTCAGTTTTAACATATGGCTGTGAATCCTGAACAATCGGTAGGCAGGCCAAACAATTTTTAGAGGCCTCAGAGATGTGGTTTTACAGAAGAATGCTTAGAATACCTTGGACAGCCAAAAAGAGCAATCAAGAGGTTTCGAAAGAGACAGGAGCCCGAAGACAACTCATCACAGACATCAAAAGGAGGCAGTCATCATTTTTCGGCCATGTTATGAGAAGAGGGAATATAGAACATGTTGTGACCACTGGAAAGATCTGTGGAAGGAGGGATAGAGGAAGATAACGAGAGAAGATGCTTGACAGTCTTGTTGCATGGGATGGAGGTGTGTCGGCACGCGAACTGATACATGCTGCAGGAGATCGCAGATTATGGAGAAGCATGATCGCCAACGCCAATTGGCAAGGCACCTAATGATAATGAGCATACGTAAGCATTACATTAGAAAATTGCCGTCCATAGCATTCGCCTGGCGGTTGCTATCGAGCCGGATTTATATATATTTTTTTTCTTCTAAAATATATTTGCGTTTACACGGGCCACATGATACGCAATAAGCTCCGGCAGGCGAACTGACAGCAAGGCTTTTTTGATCCTGCAGCTGCTGCTGCATGCTCGGTTCCAAACGTACTGGTATTTTTCGTTTTCCATGGGCTGTCATTTGCACAATACAACACTATTGTCTATTGTATCCTGATGCGCAACGTGAGTGATTTTTTTCCCGCTTAACAACAACACACACACAAAACACTATATCACCGTGTGGGTTCCGGGGCCACTTTGTTGGGGAAATAAGAATAGACCCAAAGCCTCCTCAACAAGTATATCAAAGAGTCGATTAATTAGGGACTGGGGAAGTCGGAGTGCGTCTGCCTGAGAGGCAAGAAATCAAAATTCTGCATACAAATAAGTCATATCTGTAAAAGGGATGTGCAACACAACATTCAGGTTATGCAACAAGACTTAAGTTCAGATGTGGACGAACAACCAGAATTTTCCTCCCAAGTTTCAGCCAGTGAACGCGAAAAAGAAGAAGCAGTAGTACACTATAGATCTTTGACCATTTCGTAGCCTCGTGTATCGGATATAGGAGATTAAACCACCTTTTCGAAGACGTCAACACTGGATCGGCGATGTCAATGTTGAACAAAGAATTGACATCACAGCACTCGGGACACTCGTATAAGTGCTCAGTTCCCATCTTTGGCAGCAAGCGAATATTCCGATGGTACCAGTAACCGACTGATTGTATATCCGTCTCATCCTTCCCCTGAGTGTTGAGGGACGGCCAGATCCGCTGTTAACTCCTTGCAGCGCCATTCTGCTTAGACTGTAATGATCTATCTGTGCCTCTGCACTGTTCACTCACTCCCAGAGGGCCCTCACAATATCTAACTTGTCATACATCAATTCACCACCAAATGGTTCAGAGCCAGCCAGTCTATCTGCATGCTCATTTCCCAACACACCGTCACACGCTGGAGAAAATATCCAAAGATGCTAACTACCCGGGACTCCTCAAGTGATGCTTGCTGGGTGATGTCAGGGAAATAACAACATGCACATTCACTTTCCATATTTTCTGGCATACTACTTTATGTTGTGCGCCCTAGTTGGTTTTAAAAATAATTAGAATGTAGATTAGTAAAGATTAATAAATAGAATTATACGAATTATAGTCAAAATGTAAAAATTAGGTTTTTTACTTTTAAACCAAGACAGCTGAATAGAGGTTGAAAACCCGAGTCCAACGGTACCTCAATGAAGTCTGTATGTCAATTCTAAGCGGAGATATTCACATTTCAGTGACGGAAAGTTGCCCCAAAAATTTATAATGGAAAACACAGAAACAAGATGGCGGCGTGTTCCCAAGTGAAAACTGGACCTAAATTTATCATGTTTAATGTCAATAACTCTCAAGTTTTTTGCTGAACCCCTTAGCAACCATATGTCATTGCTTTCAGGACAGCAGGCTCTGACTAAAGTTGTTGCCTTTAAAAAAAAATGATGTGATGCAAACCTAAATAACATAAAAATGAGTTTGTTTATCAGGATTGATAACCTTATTTATGAATTAAATTAATGATTTTATCCAGTGAGTCTTCCAAGACATATACTGTAATATGCATACTTTTGTAACTATTCTTCTTGTTATGATGCATCTCTTCCTATTTGTTTAAAAATGCTTTTTCTTTCACTCTCAATGTGTGTGTGTGTGTGTTGTGTGTGTATACATCTGACCGAAATTTGCTCTACTCCACTGTTAAAAAATGTTCAATAGCGAGTGGATTGACTTCACTGCATCGTTACTGGTTTCATATGGCTTGGTCTTTCTCCACATAACCATGAATGACTAGCCGCATGCCGAGACCTTAGCAGTAAGCCTGAATACCGTAGCTCCAGCAACAGCTCCAGGGTCCCTGTTAACCCAAACAAAATGTATTTTTGAGACGAACAAAGCAGTTGTAAAATAAACTCACCGCAACCTTCCGAGCACGAGGTTAATGGCTTGACCACTTTTCTACAGAGACCCCCAATATTGTTTGATAACCAAGTGAAAAAATATGCACCCTTTTTACTGATTTAACATAATCCCTTCTTCAGTCTTTGCGAGTTATTCTTTAATTTTATTGATGATGAGCGCATTTTACCACAGTGTTTCCCTCTTCTTCTTAACTAACACTGCTGGATATTTTATTTACTAGTTCAAAATAATCTAAGGTAACTGCTCATACCTGATTTGTGATTCAGTGCTATGTTTTCATGGAGTAAAATTATTTAATAAGCTCCTTTGTGATTCGCTTTGGATTTATGTTGTGTTTTCATGGAGCAGCATTTCATAAGGTAAGAGGAAAAAGAACATTATATATATTTTATTAACGTATCTATGTCCCCATGTGATCTGTTTGCTAGCTAGTATATATTAGTATATTTAGAAAATAATTATTAAA